TTGCAATAAGACTGGACACGTAAAGAAGAAATGTGTTAAATATCATGCTTGGCGTGAAAAGAAAGGGTTGCCTAAACTACCGGAAGCCAATTGATTCTGAAAGATGGATTTATGTTGGAGATGACAAATCGGTAGAGGTGGAAGCTATAGGGCATTTTAAATTGTTATTAAGTACTGATTTTTATTTGGATTTGAAAGACACTTTTGGTGTGCCGTCATTTAGACGGAATTTGGTTTCAGTTTCTTATTTGGACAAATTAGGTTATTTATGTTCATTTGGAAACAATAAGTTCAGTTTGTCTTTTAATTCAGATATTGTTGAAACTGGTTCACTTTTGATTTATGATAATCAGTATTTACTTGATATTGTGGCCACCTATAATGAAACCCTTAATACAGAATCATGTGGTACTAAACGTAAAATTGAAAATACTCACTCAAGTGCATTATGGCACAAGTGTTCAGGTCACAATCAAATTGTGACGTTTGAGCTTGTGTTATACTCTTAAAGATATGGTAGAGAGTATGATTTGTTATTCCACCTTACTGGAATCACTTTGGGGAGAGACACTAAATATGACAGCTTATATTCTAAACAGAGTACCAACTAAAGCAGCTACCAAAACATCTTATGAGCTTTGGACTGGGCGACGACCTAGTCTGAAGCATTTCCATGTGTGGGATTGTCCAGCTGAGGCAAAGCCTTATAAGCCAAATGAAAAACAAATTGGACTCCTGAACAGTAAGTAATTATTTTATTGGTTATGCTGAAAGATCCAGGGAATATAAATTTTATGATCCCACATTAAAGACAATTTTTGAGACGGGAACTGCTACGTTCTTTGAGGATATTGAGTTTGGGGGGAAGAATAAGATTAAGAACTTCATCTTGGAGGAAGAATCAGTAACAATTTCAGAACCGATTCAAATAGTTACTTTTAATAAAGTAAGTTCGGAACCTCCATAAGGCATTGTTAATGAACCCCTTACTCAAAATGATTTGGTTGTTCATGAAGAACAAACTCAAGATCCTCAAGAACCTGTGCATCATGAACTAATAACTTGGCTATTTCGGATGATTACATGGTATTTCTTCAGGAAGATGAGGAAAATAATGATATAATGGAAGATGACCCAGTTAACTTCCGTCAAGCTATACAAGGTTCTAACTCTCAAAAGTGGATTGAAGCAATAGGATAAGTATAAGTCCATGCAAGACAATAAGGTTTGGGAACTTGTCCCATTACCAGAAGGTATGAAACTTATTTGGCTTCAAGATGAATATTGTTGATGATTGTGTGTATCACAAGTTTAAAGGGAGACAAGTTTAGTTTCAATCAGTGCCCAAAGGGGAATTTGGAAATTGAGGAAATGCAAAAGATTCCCTATGCATCAGTTGTAGGGAGTTTGATGTATGCCCAAGTATGTACGCGTCTAGACATAACATACATAGTTGGGATTCTAGGCAGATATTTAAGCAATCCAGGAATAGACCATTGAAAAGCAGCAAAAAAGGTCATAAGATATTTAAAGAGAACAAAAGATTATATGCTCACATATAGGAGGTCAGACCAGTTGGAGATCGCTGGGTTTTCTGACTCAGATTTTGCAGGATGTCAAGAATTTGTAGCATGCTATGAGACATCAAATCATGGAATATGACTGAGAAATTTTGTCACAGGGCTGCAAATTGTGAAAGGCATTGAAAGACCACTTAAGTTATATTGTGACAATAAATCAGTTGTATTGTTAAGGAAAGAGTACAAAGTGGACAGATTTTCATAGAACACTTAAGGACAAACTCCATGATACCAGATCCTCTGACTAAAGGACTTCCGCCCAAGGTCTTTCATGAGCATTTTGCTCACATGGGTGTTTTACAGTTTGAGGAATTTGTGGTTTAGTGGGAGTTAGTCTCTTTTATATATTTTATGTTCTATGTTTAATTTCATATATGTATACATTGATTTTTGGACATATTTGGTTATCTATAGATATGCGGTTTTTTCGTTCATTCATTACACTTTGTACATTAAGGATATTATATCGATCTCGATAAGTTAAAGTTTGGACCAGTTGAAAATAGACGTGTACAGATCACCTTCACGTAATTTTTCATGCTACACATTTCATGATGAATCCATGTCATTTGGTTATGTTAGGATGAGTAATCTTGTTGGTTTTAGTTGCGATGATGCAATGAAAAGTCGGTTTGGTTCTATATCCCGATATGATTAATGGACAGGACTTTTGGAATATGCTAAAGGAATATAATGACAATTTTGAGCTCATAAAGTCTAACACATTTGTAAGGTTGTAAAGACATATATATTTGTGACCAAGTGGGAGATTGTTGGCAAATTTTGGGTCATGTATATATATGATACATATTTAAATGTGTTAGGGTCATTATTTATTAAGCCAAATAATAAAGTGATCTGACTAAATTAAAGTTTTGGCTAAAAGCATATGTCATGAAAATAAAATTGTGTAGAGACCATAGAGCAATTTCTAATTTGATGAGGGGCCAAATTGGAAATACTAAAACTTAAGTAATTAACCTAATTCCGGTTATCTAAAGGGTCATGGTCCCCTTCGAGAGCACACGACGTAACGTAGTTACAGTCCCGTTCCTTTCTCTCTATCCCCATCAAGAGAGAAAATCAAGAGGGAAATACAGGTGCTCTTCAGGTGGAAGACCATAAGATCAATATAGTGCTCTACAAAGACATCATTGTTATGGCTAATTCAGGTACGCTTTCGCATTTAGTTTACAGCATGTTTATCAGTATGGGATTATGTTTATGTTTGATTGTTAGAATCAAAATCAGGATTATTATTATTATTATTATTAATTTTCCAACAATAATATCCAGTAACAAGAATAACTCTTTTCGATGTGAAAGATCGGATTAACCGCAACCACGTAAATACTATTCTAATGACTATGAAGCAGTAAGACCAATATCACAACCTAGTGGTTCTGATACCACTGTAGCACATACAACTAAAATAAAAAGATGAGAAAAACACTCATATTAGGCAAAAGAGTAATTTCACTAATGAAAGAAATTACAATCATTCTTTATCTACATCCAAGGAGAAAATAATAACACCCTACCTCCAAGGAGAAAACAATAACTCCCTCTCCCGAAAATAAAGTAAAAACAACTCTAAGAAAACCTAAAAGAAGAAACTATTTTTTTTTAATTTATCTCTCATGTACTAAAGCAGCAAAAGAAAGAAAAAAATGATTTTAATATGTTTTACAAGATAAATACTATATTCCTTTTATAATAAAAAAAAACATTAATATTTTTTATGTGACACTTTTCTTATCACACTTCCTATGCACCAATCCAAAGAAGAGAATTTGAGTTACACATCAATCGTAATATTTTTTCTATCTTTACTTAAAGTGCGTGGATCAAATTTTAATATTTCCAGAAAATATATTTTTATCATTATTATTTAATATTATTGATTTTAACTAATTTATTTTAGTTATGGTATTTATTTGTGTTAGTAAAACTATTAGTATCCATTTTTTTAGGTTGAATTAAAGGTAAAATTTTTAGTTAATTCTTAAATATCAATAAATAAATAATCTCAATTTCTAAAAGTAGTTTACATCCTTCACATTCTTCTTTTATTTTAAAAAATATTATTATTATTATTATTATTATTATTATTAAAATATAATATAGTCTTTACGTATATATAAACTAAATTATATTTTATTATAATATAAAACGATTAAAATGCATTTTAATAATAATATATGAGGATTTACTTGAAATTTAAAAATAATGATAATATATAAAAATTACTTTGAAGAATTTTATTTTAATTTATTTAAATTTTAGAAATTAATGTTTTTATACATTTTAAAGGACTAACTTCATCATTCTTTTGTTTTTTCATATGTATATAATGATAATATATTTGTACTTACGTAGTGTTTAAAATATTTTGTTTATTTTTTATATCAATTTATGAGTTTTTTTTTTAATTTTAGAGGTTAACTAAACTCAATCTAGCTAAAGTTCATTGTGTTTTATGTGACATACTTAAATGCAAATTTTAAAATTAATGAGGACTATTTTTTTCGAAAAATAAAACAAAACTATAAGCAGACACACTTAGTGGATTTTATAGCATATTTAGGTGCTTATTTTTTTATGATTTAAAAAAAAAAAAACTCGTGAACAATTTAGGACTTGCTTCTCTTTCTTAATTAAAAATATTTGTGTATAATCGAATTTAATGAGTTATACGTTATTTTCATCAAATCTCTCTGCATTTATTTTATTATTGTAAATTACTTTTGTAAAACTTTTTATTGTTTATTCAAGAAAAATTATTATATAAATATTAGGAATACAAATGATATATAGAAATATATGTATGTATATCTTTTCATGATTTTTTTTTAAAGAATGCGATTAATGAATTAATCTAACATTCTTCTTAATTAATGCAAACTATTTTTTTTTCTAAATACAAATTACAACTTTTGAATATCATAATTTTTCTTTGGAGGAGTATTTATTTATAATAAAACTATAAAAAGTCTGGATTCTCACAGGAAAACAGTAAAATTGAGTATATAGGGATGGTGAGGTAACAGAAAATGAAAAGGTGAGACTTTTGAGAATCAAATAAAATTATAAGAAAAACCAGAAAAGTAATAATTATTATGAAGCGTTATACATGGCAGAGAACTAGAATATAAAGCCCTCCAGCCACTTAACAACAAAAGAATGGGTTGGTTATTATTGCTGCTACCATACTCTTCTTCATTCTCTTTGGCAGGTGCAAAGGGGTTTGGTTATCTCCTCAGTTCAGCAAAATTGTATGGCTTCCATGCAGCTATACCTTTCCACTGTCTATCATTTTGATCCACCTCCCATTACTCTCATGCTACGTGTATAGCCTGCCCCACTCATGTTCTCTTTAAGGTTTCTGAATTTTGATTGCACCATTTCTTCTTGTTTTGTTTAGAAGGTTGCACTTGCACTCCACAAAGCGTTTTCATCCTCCCCACAACGCAGGTGAACTTCTTTCATCCTCTCAACAGACCTGCAGATTCCACTGCATTTCCAATCAAACGAAGCAACGCAGATGTTGCCAGCCTGCGCCTTCCACTCGCAATCTGCAGGAGGGTAGCACCACTACTGTTAAACAAAAAACTAATGATCTTGTCTTCTATTCAAGAAAAAACCATGTAAATTATCATTGTCAGGTTTACGTGGAATCAGAGTTCAGAAAGAAAACTGCCTTACAAAGAATCATAACATGACATATCAAACAGTATATGAACAGTCAGATGAGAAGTTTTGCATTGGTTGCTCAGATTTATATATAATGCTTCTGAAAAAGTATTGGATCGATGATAACTGGTAACATGAATTTTCTCTCAAATAGGTCGTGGTAAAATAAAAATCAACATACCAGGGGGTGTGCCACAACACATTCTCCTATCATCAACATGATCCACGTCTAAACCAATAAACCAAGATCCCAATGAAACATCTTCGTTGGCATATTTATGCAGCATATCCCTGGTATTGTAAAATCAAACTGTTATCAGTCCATCAAAGAAACACTATATGCCAGAGTAGTTGGTATAGTATTCAGTTCTTTACTTAGGCTGCAGTTGTTCCTACCTAATGAAAATCTCAATATGATTGATCCAAACATCCACTTGCCTGTGTGCTTTAACAGTTTTGAGCATGGAAAGAAGACTTACTGATTTATTGATATATAAGTAGCCAAATCTTGCGAAATGGCATATAATTGTCCTGTAGCATGACGGAAGTACTTGTTTCCCACCTCTCCAAACTTCCAGTATTCTGGTTCATGGTATTTCACTCCCCTGTGGTAAGACGGTTACTCTAGGAAGTGTATTTATACTACAACTGAAAAATATAATACAGGTTTTCTTACTTCTGAGCAAGGACAGGACCGGATTTCATGCATCCAATATACACCCGAGTTTTCATACGGTGCATACTCAAAGTCAATCCAAGCGTTGCTGAGATAGAAAAAGGCACAATAAGCACACGAGAAAAGTAATGAAGTATCTATTAAGTAGTGAAAAAAATCCAGAATAATCATTAGTTAAGTGGATTTTTCGCCTTTCGTTTCTCTGTCAATTCGCATTAAAGTCCGCCCCGTTAAGAAAAAACTCCAAATACAACTATGCGAGCAACATAATTAAAAGAATGTTCTATAGACAATGTACCACCTCTCAATATATAACACTGCAAAAAAGCATAAAATATTCCAGGCATAGAGAAGAATCTAAGCATTGTCATGGCTTAGTTAGAAACTTACAAAATGGTGCCTGGTCAATCCTACTGCAGATAGTTTACACTAAACTCAACTTATAATGTATACAATTAAGCAAACTACGGATGGATAAACGAAATTAGATGTGCTGAACGATTGGCAATTATGCTCTGATGTACAGCACAAGAAAACAAGGTGACAGAAATTTCAAAGTCAATTGTTAGTTGACCCAACTGTTAACGCATCATGAGTTTTCTCCTACAAACTAAGTCATGTGATCCCTTGGATGCTTTATATTATTTTATTATTTAATAACATCTGAGGTAATTTTACTAACAAACAAAATACATGAAGAGAAATACTACTAATCTATATAAGTCGAAAATCATTTGGACATATGTTCCAAAGCTAAATTACAAAGTAAAAAATTTAATAGGATTTCTAACAATAATATTTTGAAGAGATTTCCCATTTAGTTATCATATTTATAGAACATTTGTAATAAATTTAAATAGTTTATTGTTCTTTTTTGCAGAAGCCAAGCTACTTTTCTTCATACATCGTGTATAAATTAGATTTATCACTTCAACTTTACCGGTTAGTTTCTCCCGTAACTCTCTGCATATCATTATTAATTGTACACACTGTATTTTTTTTGTTTCTATTTACCTAAATTGACATGAACATCATCATCAACTTTGACATAAAATTCTGCATCCCACAAGGCAACAGCAGTTGAAAAGTAGGTCTTTGTCTTAGCTGATAGTTCTAGGTATCCCTCAACGTGGTTCTGCTTAACATAAATGCATTTTGTTTGAACAAAAAAGAAATATAAATAAGATATAGGATTATCCATCTAAATGAAAAAGGAGCAGGAGAGAAAGATCACCAGCCTCAAAAAGTCAGCATGAAGCCTCTCCTCTGCTTCAATAGCCTTGTCAAGAATGCCACCAGATGTAGAACTATAGACAAAAACGCCAATTAAATCTCTACGTTATGGTAAACTTAATATAGGAATTCACCATGGATGAGCCAAGGTTTCATGACATTGTGTAATTGATATTTGACAATAATTATTTACAGTTCCATGTACTAAAATAATGAGTATACTACCAATCAACACAATAAAAAGTTGGATAGAAATAAACACAACTTGCATCAGAATGAGAAAATAACAATTATCTGTTAGACATAATTTGATGGTTAGGCCACAAAACAAAGTTGAGATCAAAAGAGAGATAAGTGCAACAGAATCATCATAAGTAGGTAAGCACAACAAAAGAGAACAGTGAATATCAGGAAATCTGACCTGTGACCTATAACAAATCGTATAATTATGCCTTTTTCTTCCTCCAACTTCTTTCTTTCGTTAGCTAATGAAGTTCCATTAGAAGTAATGGATTAGATACATGAGGTGTATGGTGAGTGGAGTCATTTAAATAGGCTAAAGCAGAACTGTTATGAGAGAAAAAACTAGAAAATGTTGAAATATCGTTCAATCACCTTGTGGCATCCAAGTTGTACGAACAGAATCTCTTCTCTTCCTGCTACTGAAAGCTGTATTGATCCCTATAACCATGAAATATTTTTTCCTCGTGGTTGATTCAACTTTCTCTGACTTCCCTGATACAGCACAACCATTCAGCGTAAATTCACGAAGTAGCAAAGCAAGTTTAAGATTCACCTCCAAAGTAGATTTGTCTTACTTGGTCTCCTGCAATTCATGTACAGAAATGGATTAGCATTATAGTTATTTGATATGTACATAAGTAAATCACATGCAAAGAAGCATTGGCTTGGCCTACTTGACATCATTCTTGACAGCGTTCGGATTATTTAAAACTTCCACTTGACTGTAATTTGAGTTTGGCCTTGCAACCTTTAAACAAAGGCAAAACATCAAGCAGAACATGGCATCATTATAGATCATTTTTCATAAATAGCACAAGATGCAGGTACTAGTTATATGCCTGGGATTTAACTTTATCTATATTAAATTTCAAAAAAGCCATACAGAAAAATGTGTCAGATAAAAATCATTCTTGCTTTGCACCTAAACCCATGGTTTTAAATCCCTCATAGTAGTGCATAGCATCCAGCCCAAAAAACACTAGTGAGATAGTGGATGGCAGGATAGCTACAATCTTGAAATATTTATATAGTTTATATGCATAACAATTCTCAAAAATCATTAAAAAAACGAAATTCATGACATTCATAATTAAAAATAATGTCATAGATCTCTTAACAAAACATACAAATAAATAGCAACAGAAGTCAAATACAAGCTTCCTAGATAGGAATCATCAATCATCATCTTCATTTTTACTGCTATTACCGCTTAAGATTTCATTGTGGAAATAATCCCAAACATAGCCCCACATAAAAAGCCTTAATATATCAGTTCCAAGGTTTTATCTGGAATGTGCAGATAGCACCACTATAGTGCTACTATGGCCACCATATCATACGCTTACAATAAAACACTCCCACTATGCAAACCCTGTACCTCTAATTGATAGTTATTCAAAACTTTGCCAAAACCTATTCTTTTGAAATAATTGATCTGGAACCCTCGCAAGCAAGACTTCAACCCTTTCTACCCTTCTTAATATCAAAATAAATTTAAGTCAATACAACTGCATTGGTAGCATGTGCTTGGTGTCCACACTTCAAGTCCTGATGAGATGGCATATCATAAACAAACATACTCTAAGGCATAGTTTGGCCTGACATTTTTTGGGTTTCTCTTCTTGTTTTTTAAACTCCTGATCATTTCATGGGGAGGGAACTTCGACTGTTGTCATAAATTCCAGTAGTAGTTCAATGACAGTCTATTATCTACATATTATGGGATAGGGGGGGAAATGCGTGACAGAATCACACAAAAAATATAACATGTGCAAAAAAGAAACTGATACACTTACTAGATTTAGATTACAACCCTCAGAGTTTAGTTTTATTCTTTCAATCTCACTAGTAGTCCTTGAAATTTCCTTATATTCAAGCATCGACCATATCCTGAAACAAAATTGTAGTTGGCATTACATGTATGACATAATGATCAGCTTCCTTAAGTAAATACTAATAGGGCAGAATTTGCACAAAAGAAGTACCAGTACCAGTACATTCAGCGTCCGATAATAAAAGCAAAGATTGTGAACACTTAATTTATAAACTTAGCTACACAAGATGATATTTGTTCAAACAGGACCAAAACCAAGGGCGATGAAGAGCTGTCAATAAATTGAGTATGACAGGTCGTGCCAAATGTAAAGAAGCCTTCATTTCATTAAACTCGCCCCAATGTCGACATTCAGTTAAAACTAGACGATTTTCAGCAACTACATAAAGAGGGAGGGGAATAAAATATAGATGCTCACCAATCACTTCTTTTATTCAGCGGAATAGAAGGAGATGCAAGAAGTGGAAGGGAGAAAAAAAAAAAAGAGTCTGAATAGCTTTGGTACATTTAATGAAACCAACAAAATATCATACGGAGAATTGTGCACAAACATTTACAATCTAAGTAGAAGTATAAAACAAACAATTAAAAAAAAAAAAAGGGGTGGAATAAATGCCCTAATGCAGAAGGCACTGGCAATAAAATGTCCTTTCTTGAAGGATAACAACAATTCGCAGCCTAGAAACTCAATCACTCGTCGAAAATAACTAAAAAAAAAACCTTGATGCTCAAATATAGAGACCCAGAAGCAAAAGTACCTATTTGTGAAGAACATTCCAGCACAGAAGCTTGCCACGCAAAGCAGAAGAGCCCATTTCCTGTGCAGGACATTCCTTGCAGTCAGTTCTGCAGCACCTCTGCTCTTCATATGCATTTTCCCTCTCCTCTTTTTCCTCACCTCACTGTAGAAAATGCACACAGTATGATAAGCACAACGCGAAACAAAGATCGAACAAATGCAAAAAATTATTAAAAATAAGCAAACTTTACAGCTTCAGAGGCACCCACCCACTATCCTGTTCCTTGGGGGTAAGAGAGGAAGACCCCCTTTATCTTCTAGTCTTTCGAACCGTCCGTCTTCAACAAACGCCTCTTCACACCACAAATGTTACTAGAAACCACACTTAAAACAACAGATAACGGTAACAGTTACTCAAGTGTTCCATCAAGCTTTCTATTCTCAAATCTTGTCCATCATCAGTTATGTTTCTCCCCTAAGTTCTTCATTCAACAACTTTTCAGCTCAACTCAGTGTATGGTATGTTTCATAAATCACAATTCATTAACACTAACAAAACCGTGGCCCCCAAAGTAAAATCCCATTGAGAAAAGGGGAACAAAATGTTGTGTGCATTAATTAAAGTTATTTGGAGACAGGGGCTTTTGGTTACTTATAATTTTCCTTAAAAAGTGTCGGCTGGTGATAAGTGAGTATTATTTTTACTAGGCACTTGAGGCTTTCTACAGAGCGGGTTGAATCCAGTTCAAATGGATCCCACCCGACTCTTTTCAAATAAACTGGTTTGGCTTACTGTCAGAATCATCCCAAATTAAAGATGCAGTTCAACCAAATTGTGGTGCTACTCAATCCACCCCTAACAACAAATAAAAATAAAAATAGAAATGTTTTGCATTCAGGTAGGTGCAATTGTAACTCTTGCAGAACTCTACACATTCCTCAACTAATACTTAAAAAGTGTGCTTTTATCACAAATTTAAATATGAAAGAGGGGCATAGGAAAATGACTTACCAGAAGAATAAAGTGTGCTTTTTTTTGGGTACAAAATACACTTTTTATAAACACAATCCTATCTGGGAGAGTAGGATTATTGACTGATGAAGTTTTCTCTGAGAATATTTTAAACAGTTAAAATTAAAATAGCTAATTAAACTGAGAAAATCTGGTGTTAGTTGATTGATGAGATGAAATATATAAAAGTGTTCGGCCATGAAGATGAGAAAATGGTGCCCAAGACACAAAGTGAATCTCCGGTGTTAGTTTAATTCCGTGGTAGATTAACTGAAAACGAACAAGAGGAACCACTTAACCTAATCTCCACTAACTCCAAAACCATACCCCACCTGATTCTGCAAAATACCAAACTATGCACATCGCATGTTTGAAACACTGAAAAACATAAATTAGTTTACACTTATTTACGTTATTGGCTTTACTATATATTTGGGTTTGGCCCCATTAAGACACCAAGTATGCTTAACTATGTGTTTAATCTAATTTAATATACAAATTGATTTTACTAAAATTGCAAATAAATGACTTAGAGTATTTGTGCTATTTTATCTGAAGTGTGTCTGTGTTCTTTTTTAATATAGAGGTTTGGATTAAGATACTATCGAATATATAATTTGTAATATGATGTGTATTATAATTATTCACTTTGGTGATAATAACAGTGGATTAAATCAATATTGTTCTTAAATCATATATGAATCATGTCAATTACAAATAAGTTGTGTAAACCGCATCTCTTATGTGAATAATGTGTTCTATCTCTTCTGTGAAATTTAAGAACTTTATTTATTTTTTCTTCAACGGAATAACTTAACATGAATTTTTTATTCATTTAATGTGAATTTTATTCTATTCTTATTGAGTGATTAGGAAATAGGTCTTATGAATTATTGTAGAAAAACAAGTTCTTATATTTTGAGTTATTTACAGGATGAATAAACCAAACATGCTTGAAAGAGAATTCCACATTTCTAATAAGAAAGAGTCGAACTTTAATAAAACATATTAAATTTATAAAAAATAAGAATAAATGGATGTTGAAAGAATTTTGCAAAGAAACAAACGAAAGAAAATGATATCCAACAATAAGAACCTTTTTCTTGGAAAAGGGAGAAATTTAAGTTACAAAAATATTATTTCAATTTATAAATGATGAAATAATAAAATAATCAGTGAAGAGAACAAAATATAGACAGAAGTCCAACCATCTAAATGTAAGTCTTGATATTTGACTGAATCATATAAAAATAATATGCATAATTGATTTGTTTTGAAAAAATTATTGAATTGTTTTAAAAACAAATTACTGAATTGTGTTTTAATTTTATAAATAATTTAAATTAAACTGAATTATAACATCTACTAAAAATATTATGTAATTAAACTCAGTTCATATAAATAAGTATATATTTCAATTCTATCAAAACATTTTTAGAGTAGTTAGGTTTTGTCTTAAAAATGTTAAAAGGTTGCGAACAGATAAAAAAACACAAAAAGTGTTGAAGCGTGCTTTCTCTGGAAAAACAAATTTCTATAACTTTGGTAGAAGAAATAAAATCATGTCATGACAAAGGGGTTACGTATAATTCACGCCTCAAAGTTGGGACCAACGGGTTTAACTATTTTCTACCTTTAAAAATATTTATATACTAAAATTAAAATATAATTAAAAATATTATATTTTTATATTATAATTTAAATTATAAATATTAATTAATTAATAATGTATTTTAATATATAAATATAATATTTTTTAATTTATCTTATAAAAATATTAATTAATAAATAAAAATATATAAATTTATTTATATGATTAAATGTTATTTTTAATATATATAATTTTATATAAAAAATATTAATAAATTGATTGATTAATAAATTAATCACTCTTAATAAAGTGAATTAAAATCTATAATTTATCCTAATTATAGTAAATAAGTTCATTAGAAACCGATGAAGATAAAATAAGATGGACATAAGAAAGATTCCCATATTTTATTATTCCAAATATCAAATGTTACATCTAATTAATTAGTAAAAATGTTAAATATTTTTAAAAGTATAATACTAGGAAAGAAACCGTAACAAAATCACGATAATTCACTATTAAATTAAAATAAAATAAAACTATATTTTTAATAATTTTTTCCTTTAATTTATCAAATGAGTTATTTTAACCCATTCTGTTTTAATTACTCAATTCAAGTCTCTATTTTTTAAATTAATGAATTTCAATCTCAGGTATATTTTACTGTTAAAGTTCTAATGGTAGCATAATGTATAGGAGATTATGTCCTACTTCAACATAATATGTCATTTAAAAATGCAATTTAGAAAAAAAATAGAAATTATACTTTTCTATGTTAAACTAGTCATAAACGTGACATTAATTAAATTGATATATAGGGATAAAGATATACATATTTTTTTTATAAAATAAATGTAAGGAGAATTAAATAGAATGTTTTAATTAATATTATAAAATTTTATACAAATTTAATCTCAGTGACTTGTTTTATTTATTTATCAGAATTAAGATTATATATATATATATATATATATATATATATATATATTTATTTATTTGTATTTCGTAAGTAACTAACTATTTTGGTTTTAACAACAAAAGTAATTTTATTACTGGTAGGAAGATATTTTTGAAACTTATAAGTTAACTATCTTATGATTAATGTTGACTTTGGTCAATATATTGTGAATTTAAATCTTTTTAATAACAAGATTAAATTGTTTTATAGAAAAGGAGTTATGATTTTTTTAATTTAATTTTAATTTTAAAAATTTAAAATAATTATAAAAATAAATTTAAAAAATTGATTTAAAATTTATTTTAAATGAAAAAGAATAATATGAAGGATGACAAAAAATATAATGAGATAAAAAAAATTAATAATTATATATGATCATGAAGAGGAATGTTATAATACAACTATTAATAAAAAAATAATAATTTTTTTTATTAGTTCTATTTTGTAAATTAAAAAAAATCAATAAATAGTTGTCAAGTAAACTTTTAATTTAAAAAAACTTGAAACTTGTTTTTAAAAACAATAAATAAATAAATTTGTAATTTAATTTGTTAACTTATTTATTACTTAATTTTATATTTTTATTTCTTTTTTTAATATACAAGTTTTTTTAATAATGAGAAATTATAGAGTATATATTAAAGAATGACAATAAAAAAGTTCTCTTGTAAATTGTTATAGATTATAAACTATCATTACTATTATTTTAAATCCCAAAAATTAAATAAATAGACATACATTATCAAACTAAAAAGAAGAGAGGAATGCTTGAAAAACATAGGTAGTGTTTAGTATCAAAATTCTAAAAATAAAAGAATGAGTTTTTAAGTAGAATTTGATTTCTTTCACAAGTAAGAATGTGGGTGTAACGACCCTAGAAATCGCTACTATAATGATGTCTTCGCAAAGTAGTAAACAAGTAAATAACAACATCTATTTTACATTATATTATTATAATTGTAACATATATTGAAATTCCAGTTCACTAACGGAACTTCAAAATATAGTAACATAATTTATTTATATATTATACATGTAAAAGTAGCTCCCTCGAAGCTATCCCATTGAACTATCTCTGTTGTCCAGTAGTCACATTATCATCTCTCAACTCCTGATCTGCTCCCACATAAAAGTGATCATCGCAGTCCCATCCACATGGAAAAATAGGGGTAAGTATTAAATCATTCGATATAATAAAACAGATATAAAAGTAATAATTATATATTATGATCAATTATGAAATTATCAACACATTAAGACACCTTCCGGAAGTATACCCTAACTATGCCCGAACTCAGAGGCTATCATCTGTGGGCACATTGTGATCGGTACCCGCAGTACCATTCTAACCACCCTCCACACAGAGTAGGATTACTAGCGCCCTTCATCACTCATACTGGAGTACCCCTCCGAGCGCGCCACCAGTCATCCCCCCATCGACTTCTCACCACCTGATCTCGTAGTCTACCTGACCCGACCAATCAGTGAAGTTTGGGACCTCATTCAGAATCCTCCGACATAGTTATTACACTAATGTATTCTGTACCACCCCGGGTACCATTCAAACATAACAAAATTTATTCACATTTGCCGGATTCTGGACCACCTGTCCTCACGACTCATTCGGGTCAATAAAAATAGTATTTGACTGATTCTGGCACCAACCCTCCGGATCAGTCTAGCCAATATATAACATCTCAGGACTGATTCTAGGCATCAGCCCTCAGGCTCAGTCTGACCCACACACGTCACAACACACTACTTCCATTCTCTCTCTCTCTCTTTATATATATATTTTTCCAAAATCATTTTCAAAATCATTTCCGAAACTATTTCCAAAACTATTTCCAAAATCATTTTCAAAATCATTAAATTACTATTTTGCCCTTAATCTTTTCTTAAAATTCCATGTATGTCCCTAAATGACTATTTTACCCTTGGACATTTTTGAAAATTCCTTCCATGTCCCAAAAATGACTATTTTGCCCTTGGACATTTTCAAAAAGTCCTTCCATGTCCCGAAAATGACTATTTACCCTTGAACAATTTCAAAAATTCCATTTATGTCCCTAGGATGTAAAATGACTATTTTGCCCTTGAACATTTTCGAAAATTACATTTATGTCCCTAGGATGAAATATGACTATTTTACTCTTGATCTATTTAAAAAATCCCCACCATATCCCTTTCTTCTTCCTTCGCTCAGTAACAGTGTCGAATTTTACAGATTTTGGCAGATTTCAAATTACTCAGTTTTAGACAAACAAACTAGACCCAAATCGAAATTAAACATGAATTATATCTAATTTAAGTTGAATACAGCAATTTTACTATATAATTCATCCTTAATTTCAAGAATTTAATCAATATTTAAAACTTTGCAAAATATGAATAGTAATCACCTCCAAGTACGCCATTTTCAAAATCTGGGTTTGAAATTTCTCGGTTTCAATCACCCAAATTAGTTCCAAATCAAAATTAAACCATAAACATGTTCAATTTAAGTTAAAAACAACAATTTTATTATATAATTCATCCTTAATTTCAAGAATTTCAGAAACTTTCAAACGGTGAACAGTTCATCAGAATCAGAAATTCTTCAAAATGAGACATTCAAATAATTCATATCTCTACTCCTATTCCTTATTCGCAGAGTACCCAACAATTCAATTTCGTATATTGAATGAATTAAACTTTCCCTTACCTGGTATGATATTTCTACCGAAGTTTTTCCACTTAATTCAAGCTCTCTCCCGTTTCACCAGATCCTGCACGAGTAGACACCTCCTCCCATAAAGAGCCTCATATGGTGTCATTCTGATACTGGTATGATAGCTGTTATTATACGTGAACTCTATTAATGGAAGGATATCATCCCAACTTCCTAGATTATCCAACACACAAGACCTCAACAAGTCTTCTAGTGACTGGATGATCCTCTCTGACTGTCCATCTGTATGGGGGTGATAGGCTGAACTCAACCTAAGTCGGGTACCTAATGCCTATTGTAAAGTCTGCCAGAATCTTGAAGTAAATCTAGGATCCCTATCCGAGATAATGCTAGATGGTACCCCATGTAATCGAACAATCTCGCGAATATATAGTTGTGCCAGCTTAGCCATAGATATCCTCAGATTTACAGGGAAGAAATGTGCACTCTTCGTCAATCTGTCCACTATCACCCAGATCGAATCGTGCCCCCGAATTGTCCGTGGTAAATGGGTAACAAAATCCATGGTAATGTTATCCCACTTCCATTCAGGTATCTCCATTTGTTGTAGCATTCCTCCCGGCCTCTGGTGTTCCACCTTTGCTTTCTGACAAGTCAAACAAGCAGCCACATACTCTGCAATATCTCTCCTCATACCAGATCACCAATAAACCTTCTTCATATCTTGATACATCTTAGTCATACCAGGGTGTAGACTCATACGACTTCGATGACCTTCATCTAGTATTGCTCTCTTCAATTCTTGGTCAACAGGAATACAAATCCTTCCTCTGAATCTTAGAATATTATCCTCACCCATCTTGTAGTCAATGGTCTGCTCGGATCCTAACTAATCCATAACACCTTTCAACGTTATATTACCCTGTTGTCTATCTCTGATCATCTCGAGAAAATCATTAGTAATGGTAATGCTACCACAACTAGTGCTAGTATCACGAAACTCTACATCTAGATGCAGATCCCTGAACTGCTCAAGTAATCTTAATTCATCCATCATCATTGCTGGCATATGAACTGTCTTCCTACTCAAGGCATCAGCCACCACATTCACCTTTCCTGGATGATAAAGTAACTGAAAGTCATAATCCTACAGAAACTCCATCCATCTTTTCTGTCTCATATTTAGCTCATTCTGATCGAATAAATACTTCAGGCTCTTGTGATCACTAAAAACTTCAAATCTGACTCCATAAAGATAATGTCTCCACATCTTGAGAGCAAACACCACTGCTGCTAGTTCCAAGTCATGAATGAGATAATTCCTCTCATGAATTCTAAGTTGTCGCGACGCATATGCCACCGCCCTTGTATCTTGCATCAAGACACAACCTAACCCCTGAAT